CCAAGGAAAAACCTTTAGGTGAGATCGACATCTCGAAGTCCTGTCATCTGACCTTTGAATCTGTAACGCGTCACGCCTTCCGAAAACGAGAAAATCGATATAAACAAAGGGTTTGCCGAAGTCCCAAAATTAAACTGATTCAGGGAAAAGCTTCGCTCACTATTAACTTACAGTTTGTTCTTCTAAATAGCAAAAGAGACCAGCGAACTGAGGATCCAGTTTGTTTTTCCATGCAGCATGACGTTAAAAATAGAATTTTCGGGGGAAAATTTAGCCTAAGGATTTGGCAAGTTTGAAATGTTTCCATATGTCAATAACGATGTCACAGCTTAAATATTCTATTCTGCAGTCCAGCTAACTATTTTTTGCAAATCTTTTAGTAAATCATGGATAACAATCGCAGAAAGTCGGTATAAGGTGATATTCTTCGCTAAAAATTTGGCGGGAAATATTTCTGGCCAATGACTTTTTTTGGACTTTGCGAGACCAATTACTCCGATTTGCCTGTAGATACCAGTTTTAACTAAACTGGATATTGATAACAGTGCAAACGACTATCACAAAAATGTCTTTCTGTGGAAATAAACTGCCGCACTTTTGAAAAACGACTCGCTGAAAATGGCTAAAATTTGGGTCACGCTTATTAACGATTCGGCGGCGATATTTGGCACCTCGTGAAAACCGTAGAATTAATGCGAAAGACCTCTAATCTTTCTCAATCAACTCATAAGGGGACAAATATTATCTCACGAAAATAAGAGATTCTGGAATTTGTAGGAAGTATCTTTTAGGCTCACCTAAAGTTCCCCGAAATTTCGATCATTTTAGACCGCTTGAGAGGCCAAAATCATGATGGGGTGATATGTCGAAGAAAAACGAACGCCTACCTCGGCAAATGTCATGGTGGTTAATCTTTTCGGATAGCTTTTACACTGTGAAAAGATGAATGTAAACGGCCGACCTCGATCTTTTGGTATTGCCCGGTTTTCTCTGACAATGACACTTAACTACCTCCATAGATATCTTGTAGAAAATCCCATATAAACCTTAATAATTCGATTGCATTTTGTGTTGCTTGTGTGGTTCATAGAGAGAGCTTGGGCTGCCTGTGCCTGTATAAACGTTGGAAAGAAATGATTTTCTTGAGAGATTTTTCTTTTTGCTTTGTATAAAGGCTCATGACAAGATCAATCTAGACGTTCGAAAATAAAAAAAAGGTTAAAAAATAACACTTTACAGCCTTGGCTGAAGCTTTTTTTACGTGCATTAAATTGCGCCACTCAACCTCTCCAGCATAAGTGAACTTTAGTTTAAAACCTCTAATGCTATGTTTTGAGCAAAAAGGAAATTGAATTTATCTTTTCAGTCTTGAAGATCCACATTTAGAATCCAACAGACCGTAATTTTTGGTTGTTGAGAATAACGTTCCAAACACTCATGTTAATCAAACATACACTGAAATTTTAATTTTTTGAACTTTCTTTTGATCGCGAGCCGTTAGTTCAAAGTTGGAATCGTGTCTTTGAAAATCGAGTCTATACGGGCTTTCATAATTAATACATAATTTGTACAAATGGCAAAGGTGCTTGGAAAAACTGCATCGAAAGTTGATGTTTTCTTGCCTCAACACCTCGTTCACAGTGAACGGGATAAAATCAAAATTACAGCAGAAGCGCGTTAACATGACCACCTTTGGGTCATATCATTGTGATTGCATATTAAAGGGGTGGTCGTGTGAAGGGGTTCTTAAATTCAAAACATGACTGACTGAGCATTTTTCCGGACCAAAACAAGGTACCCTCAATAACGAGGTGAACGTAAGGCGGGGTTGCACAGTTGTCCGTTGCCACACCCAACAATTTTAGTTCATGTGAAGTTTGTTTGAAACATGTTTAATGTAAATATTTTTAAAAGATAACTTATTCAAGGTGTTTTAATTTTGTCCACAGATGAGAAACACTGAGCATCCAGAGCTCAATTCAGCGTTGTTTTTTGCACTATTGGATTATTATAGGCCGAGCATGATAACGTACTTTTATTAAATATATAACATGGAGTAGCAGCACATACCGTGGCCAAAGCAAGAAAGAAGCTAACATTTGATAACAACACTTCAAGCTACACTTTTAACATTCACTTGGTTTTTACGCATGACTTTAGGAGCACGATTCTTTCTCGTAATGCAGTCAAAATTGGCACGGTGTCGGTCACGTGACGAAGGACTCGAAAACGCTCTACCACATTTCTCACACGTGTAAGGTTTGGCTCCCGTGTGCATGTTGATATGAAACTTCAGTTCGTAAGACTGCGCGAACGCCTTTCCACAGTATTCACACACGCATGGCTTCTCTTTTGTGTGCGTGCGACGCACGTGGCTGTCATGTGCTGCGTGTGATGCGAATGCACGCTCGCAGTGCCTGCACTTGAAGGGCTTTTCCCCGCTGTGCTGACGGATGTGCGTCCGTAGAATGGAAGAAGCAGTGAAGGCCTTGACACAATGCGGACACTTGTAAGGTCTTTCACCACTGTGTACTCGCATGTGTTTGTTGAGACTGGATGACTGAGAGAAGCGTTTACCACACACTGTGCACTGGTGAGGGCGGTGTTTCTCGTGCACGTGAAGAATGTGGATACGAAGGCGATCCCGCTTGTCAAAGGAGCGGTTACACACTGTACAGGGGAACTTCCGGTCTCCTTGATCGACACAACGCGTGTATTTAAGGTGGCGGTCTCGGTAATATTTGTAGGCAAATACTTTACCACACCGTTCACACGAGTAGTCTGCTGGTGGGCCTAGAAAGGGGAAGAACAAAATTTAAGACATAAGCATTTTCATACGCATCATAGACTACGATTCAGGAGATTTTTTTTCTCAGTTCTAATGCGTTCTGGAAAAATTGACGGTGGCAACCTGTAACTGGTGCCTAATGTTAACAGATTAGCTCGCCCGTTGCTCTGGAAAGGCCCTCGTATGAAAGAAATTCCTACAAGCTTCGCTTCTACAATGATCATTTCCAAGCTTAAATTTTTCCCAGATCTCATTACCCAACCTACTTTTTGTCCTAGTCCCATTCCTATATTTTGGTTATGATTCCCAGTCCCCGTGATCCAAATCAGTCTCATTTTCCCTGTGAAAAAAATAGTCAAATCCAGGTCGCATCTTTTTCCCCAGGGCCGGGTTGTTCAAAAGCCGGTTAACCTAAATCCAGGATTAAAAGATAACCGAAGTATTAAATTTTCTTGTTTTTGATTGCTTATGTTTTGATTAGTTTGAGATTACTCTAGCTCAAAACTGAAGGACAAACAATAGAAACAGAAAACCCTATCGAAAAGTTACAAAACTGAAATCGAAATTCTCGTGTACTCATTCCGGGTTAGCTTAAGCGTGTTTTGAATTGTAAGCAATGCCAGAGCGTAACTGTCGGCCACGCTGTTTCAAGCAAGCGTTGGGTTGCCAGTTGGAAAATGATTCAATATCTAGTGGTTCAACAGCTGACTCGGCGCCACTGACAACCCTGGACTGAACGATTATTAATTTTAGTACTAAGGTGCCTTTCTTTGGAAAAATCTAAGTTCGAATTCTTAAATCCAAAAAGGAATTTACTTTTCTTTACTAAACAGATTAATTCAAGATCACTCTGATCATGATGCATTAAATGAACCGAAGAATCCTTGCCCGGAGTGGATTCTTCGGTTCCTTTGACGTACCATGATCCGAGTGATCCGGAATTAACCTGTTTAGAAAAGAAACGCAAAATCCGTTTTTCGATTTAAGAATCCAAAGATGGATTTTCCCAAAGAAACGCACCCTCAGTAACGTACACACGATATTTTACCTGTTAACTCATTTACTGGTATCACGTCCTCCTTCACATCAACAACGTTAAGTCCAGTGGGAATCCCCATTGATAAAGTGTAACATTTTCCGTACCAAACCAAGAGTTCTTCACCCATGAATATATCTTTACAGCATTGATAAAACAACTGGTGGCCATCTTGAACTAAAGTCAGGTTTTGCTCGTCGCCATGTCTTGCACAGTTAACAAACTTCATCCAGTTTTCTGTTTCGCTTTGTCCATCAATGTAATGGTTGAGGCTGCCGTTTTCACTGAACACCTGAAGGAAATGAAACAAAAACCTGCGTGTAAGAATTTACTGGATTAAGAACCTTTAAGGCAGAGTAATAAGGGCATTATTTAACATGATAAAACACGCTCTGTTGTTAAAAACTGAACTTGGCAGGTTGGGGCATCTCGATAGTCCCAATGGTTAACGTAAAACAGCGAGAACGTGCCGAAATCCACGCGTCTTTGCACGCGCACCAATCATAAGAAAATTAAGTTAGCAATTAGCACTGATTTTATGGACTGTTCCTTACAAATGCTCTCTAGCCACTTCTTGGTAAACGTGTTTCTGTCGTTGTCGACTGAAAATGAAACTCAAAGGCAAGTTGATCATTCAACAGTACACTAGTATCAAGGCCATTTAATCACCCGGCCATTTAACCACCCGGTCATTTAATCATGGAGGATTACCGTGCGGCACAAAATTCTTGCGGATTGTAATTTCTGAATTTTTTCCTTCATGATTTCACAAAAAAGTTCCTACAATTTACGATCGGTGGGAATTAGTGTTCACCCACATAGAAATTGCTTCTGTGCAAAATTAACTACGCAATAAATGTGCCATACAGTTGGTTCAAATATAATTCTATGGAGTACATGTGTAGGTTACCTCCCACATGAAGGCGGTGTCCTGTCTGTTTCCTATTTCTGATGGTTCTACAACTCTTCCTTCGTAAGGACCAAACCGTGTTCCCTTGCTAATGAATGGTTGAGAGCAGAGTACAGCATGATGGGTGTCTGTACTGAGAGTTGCTCCGATGAGCTGAAGACCCTCTGGCAGCTGAGAGGGAAGCTCAACCTTAAGCGGGACAGCTGGTCCGCATATAAACCGAACTCCTGGACCATTGCAAGCCTTATCTAGGGGGAGCGGAAGAAGATTATATTAGTATGTTTAAGAAATAATAATAATAATAATAATAATAATAATAATAATAATAATAATAAGAACACTAAAACACTAATTGACAAGTTCACTCCATTATTCACTTTCTAAAATTAGCGCACACACGCTTGGCTAGCGTTTAAGCGGCAGTCATCAATGAAATTCCCGTCGTGGAATTTTGTGGAAAGGTGTCTTAGAGCCCCTCACACATGTGTGTACCGACCCTAAAATCTCAAAAAAGCAATGTTCTAATCCAAGTAATAGTAATGTGATAAGGTTCCTCATTCTTTTCTGAGAGCTTCTCGGCTAGGCGTTTGAGAAAGCAATTACAATCGGCTCCCATCCCACCGTTGGTTCCAAAAACTAGGGGAGTGAAAGATCCCATTTCAACGTCTAGCACCCTCTGTTGGTATTTCCGCTTTTTCTCCTCTTCCTGCTCTTTAAAGATTGTGGATGTTGCTTTTCCCTGGTTACACTTGGAGTTAACATGCGTTACTCTGACATCGAAAAATGCTGTAACTCCTCGAGACCAAAAGCCCCCTGCCTTCATGTCCAGTCTTGCCTCCGGACTTGTTACCGCGGTTCTGAGGTTGAATCGCTCATTATCGAGAGGTTGTAGTTGTCGTTTGACTTCAACGTTGGTGCAAACCTTGCCACGAAATGAGGTAAGTAGGTTGCGAACGCCATCGTGTCTCTGCGCCACAAACCCCCCCTTTTAGCAAGACAGGGCTGACGGTATACCCAATCACCACAAACGCACTCGCTTGGTAAATCGGACAGGGGCACATTATACCTTAAACGCAGAGAGTCTCTGAATTCTTGTTTATTCAGCACCAAGCCTTGATCAACAAGGGGCACTGCGGTAAGCCATGAACTCGCACCCTTGTCTCTCGATTGGTTGACTGACCGCAGCAGATCCGAGGGTAGAGTGGAATCAACACTTTCCATTCTCGATTTCACTGACGCAGTTTTCAAAGCTTGATGTTGTCTTTTTAACTCCTCCGTGGAATTCTCGCNTTTCTATTCTTACTAGGACCTATCTATGGACAAAATACAAGCGAAATCAATTTTTCGACTTGTGCCATTGATAGGCGATTTAAGTCCATTTTTATAGGCATTCACTCTTATGTGTCTGGTTTAGTTTCGGAAATACTTGGAGTTTTTCAAAGGTAGAATCAACTGGAGGACTCAAACAAAGAAATTAACGGTCTTAAAGCATACTTTCTTAATCCGGCGTTTCTTTTGCGTGTAGAAAGAAAACCTTCAGTTTGTTACTTGAAGCACTTCACAGAATTGAGCTCACCCGAAACATGAAAAACCAAAATGAAAATTTTACTTGCATTCTCTAAAATGCCATAACTAGCAGCAAAAAGGCAAGAGTTACCTTATGAGTTACTTAAGATGGAAAGGTCGTTGCTTGTAAGCATAATAGCAGGTAATATGATTTTTACTAAAAATTAAATCAAGTCACGTTTCAGCAGGGACCAATTAACACGCTGTCGCTTGCAAATCCAGCTTGGCTTTATACTTGTCAGGACTGTCGGGAAATTTTTTAATGACTGGAAACATACTGACCATACTGTAAAGGGTATGCCCTCTATTTGAAGCAGTAAATGGAAGCTCGCTGTATTTTTAAATTTTCTTATTGAACTAAACTATTGTGAAGATGTGAGAACAGGTTATTGTTTTCTAAGGATAGAACCTTTGTCACCTGACTGCAAAATGAAGCCTTGTCTTCGTGTATCAAACTGTTATGTGAATCATTTCTTTATTTTCCCAATAAGGGACTACGGCTCTACTTTCTTGATCTTAATGATAGACAAGCAATGTTATTGTTAAAAGACTTCAATGTAGCCTGATTTTTTTGTCGATAAAATCAGAAATGAGTTTGCCTGCAGCGTCCTAAATGTAATCATTCTATTGTCATGGCTTGAGCTAGCTAAGTGTAGTCGGACCGGAATGAAAACGGCTTAATTTTTAAAAAAATATATTTGGCATTTATGAATTAAGCTCGAAAAAAAAAGCTCTTTCAATGTGAGCTGCTGTTTCAAATGAGTGTCGTTTTTTTCTTTCAACCTGAGGAAGCTCTCAAAAATAGAACAGTCAAAAGAAATAACCATAGTTGCAAGTATCCGGAACTTCGCGAAATAAGGACTTAAAATCTCACTTGCAATAATAAACGATGTTAAAATGCGCAAAACGGCGTTGTTCCACCCACAGTCACGACTAACCAACGACGAGAATCAAAGCGCAGTGAAAACGTATACGATTTTGTATTTCTTCCTTTTCTAATAGTTAGCCTGTTTTACTTAAAGACTCGTCAAAATAGTGTTATGAAACTTTCTGCCGTGTGGCTTTTAATGTGGCGGTTGTCTAGTTCAACGATTAGGCTACGCACAAAAGACATTGAGCACACACTTCATTAACAGCATGGTACACTGCTTACATGACTAGTTCGTTTCACTTGATTTTGTTCTGTGCTCGCGTTGGTGCAGTGACAATATTTTTAAGCGCGCTTTCTCTCTTAATCCACTTTTGCTTTTAATTTTCGAAGTCATTTAAAATTGCCCACTTTCGGCTTCTAAGCAACACGGCTGTTTTAAGAGAATGTTCCTCATAAAGAAAGCAGAAAGCCTTTCATCACTGTTTCCCAGGAGAGTGAAAGCACGCGAAAAATTTCCATAGAAAAGGAAGCAATTACAATAGTTCGTTACGGCGCTTTGCATCTTTCTGTTTTTGATGTTTTGTCTTGATTAAGCATTGTGTGTCGCCAAGCAAAGCGTAAGCCGTGGCAATAATTACAACATAAAGAACAAAAGAAAATCAACACAGTTAATGACAAAGCATACAACATGTTACCTAACTATAGGTAGAGCTTTATAACAATGAACTTTCTAAGAAGTACAGTAATCCCTTGTAAACCAGAGTAAATAAACTAAATCAGTCTGACCGAAATGTATCGAAGATACTGTGAATGAAGTCATACATTACCTTGAGAGGAACGGTTGACTCCGATGTTTTTATCCTTGGAAGTAAAGTAACCGAAAAGTGAAAAGTTCAGATCTTCTGGGGTAAATTCCCCAGTGACTGGTATGTTGTTTGCAGCAGATTCACTGCTTTCCTGGCTTATGTCGCCTTCCCTGTGCATCTCGACTTGAAATGTAATCTAAGTAAATAAAAACGCCAATAAAAGTGGTTATTTAATGTAAATATTCCAAGTTGTGTTTCCTAGTGTTCAGAGCTTGTCGTGTAACACTTCGTCTTTGTCAACAACAATCCCGAATAAAAGGAAAAAAATTTGCATTCCCTGATTATTACATTAGCTTCGCCCTCAACTTGGAGAATTAACAACTGGCAAGCATTTAACGAAAATTTATCGAACTAAAAATATCATAGAAAACTATATTACCTGTTTTACGGTGGAAATACTAAAAAAATTCCATTCACGCAGAGTTTGAGTTAGAGTAGTGTCCGATTCAGCGAGCAACCCGTGCTCGCTTGCTTGAACTGGTCGAGTTATTATTCTGTAAAGTAAGCACAAGCCAGTTTGATTCGACCAGATAAACAAGCTGCAGTCAAATATCAAGCTTTCGTTTAGAATTGATATTTTGGTTGAACAAACCATCAGCTTAATCCACAAAGTGCGTGTTGTGGGTGGTACGCACGCTCGTCTTCATACGTGAGGCTCTTATCTAACTTGTAAACAGGATTACTGAATTCAATTCTTCTAGTTCAAAAGTAACAGATACGAGAAAGATACGTGAAAGCAAACTTGTAGATGAATTTAACTCCTATCTAGAAAACTCACTTTGAGCTAGTTGTTAATGCCGACTGGAGGCTGCAGCTGGTAGGAGGCGGACCGTCTCTAACTGCACACGACACACTCACTACTCTTGCTTTACCCGCGGGCTATCTTCGCGCACCAATTTATACACCCCGCGCGCATGCGTATTCCAATAAAGTGTTTCTGGGATGTGTTTCTCGGATCTGTCTCTCGTTTTGTTTAAAATTTCACTGTCATTATTGATGTCTTTCGGCAAAGCCACACCTCCTACCGGCATTGATTTTTGCTTTCTCAGTTGATTCCCAGTGGACCCTATGTTGTTAAAATGTGAGTAACTATTCTAAGCACACTTGGATAAAGTTCACAAAAACACAAAAGCGCTTTATGAGAAGTCGTGCACAAGGAACCGGAAAGTATATGACACTTCGAAAAATTGGATTCAAAGGTCGTCTGTGTTTCTGAGGGGTGTCAACAGTAACAATAACATGAAATCGTCTTCCAATCTCCTAATGAACTACTTTCTATTCAAACTTGCGATGTCGAATAGTTTTGAATAGTTAATTCACTCTTGTCATGAACTGTGTTCCAACATTTTGATCAATTTCCGGCTGTTCTTGGGAACGAATATCATAGAAATTAAAGTAATGTCAAGTGTGAAATTCAAGGATTTGAATCTCTCACCGATAACCGGTGCTCAGAGTACAAGTGTTAACTACTGCATTCCACACGGGCTGTATACAGGTTGCTAACCACCAGAGTCCTCAGTGCAATGAAACAAGACAATTAATTACATGGCAAATTTGTCCAAGATCAAAACGAGAATTATGATTGGTTGACAAATGTCCACTGAGAATTACGGACCCCTTAGAGGGCCGCTCATGAATTAGTTTCAGCAAAATTGCTTTTTGAAAGCATTGCACAAAAGAAAACAGTTCGCTGTTAAGTAGAAATGTTTTTTTTTTCATATTTGGGGAACTATTTAAGTTTAACGTTCACGAAAGCGACCTGAAAAATGTAAATAAATGTTTAACTTTAAAGAAGCTCGCCATAGGAAAAAATCCAATCTCGTAGATACAGCAAACAATTTAACAGAACATCCACGGAACGAGATAAATTTCTTAAGCGAAGACTTTCAACAAAGTGTTAACTTTCTACTGGCGACAAGATCTCTTTGAAGACACATGGCACGTTCCTCGTGCTTACATACGGGAGAATCCGGAAGTCGGTAGAAACATAAATACTACATCATAAGAAGGAAACTAGGGTCTAGTTAGGAGCCTAGTTTTTTGAAAAGAAAACCAAGTCCTTAGCGACTGTTTGGTTGGCCTGCACAGGAGGTAACTTCGAATGCGACGATAATTGTCAGAGCACAAAGAAAGGCCACAAACACAAAGTTGGAGTTACAAGATTCCATAATGTAGTGTCAAATTTAAGGAATTAAGTGATTCTGCTGGCCGTATGTTCATTATTCCGAGTCCGAGCGTCTATTCATGCCAAGCATTTTTTTTGTCACTTCTTTTTTTAGTCCAAAACCACAGCGTTCCGGTCCCGGGGGAAAAGTTCAAACGCTTCTGTGCCGAGACTAATTAATGAAGGACTTTTCAAAACTGTTTCAATCAGTTTTGTTGGGGAGTTGGCAAATGAGCAATTGGGTATATAAAGCCCCGGCCAAACGATCGCAACATTTCGACGCAACATATCGCAACATTGTTGGGCACAACATGTTGCGTGCGTTTGGCCACCCTGTTGCGACGTGTTGCGACATGTTGGGTCTTGTAAATCGAACTAGTGCGCATGCCCGGGTGCAACATTGTTGCACGAACCTGGCCAAACGAGTAAATATCATGCAACATCCACAAATGCTGCATGAAAAATTTGATCATTTTCAAACTTGAGCCAACAACACCCAACATGTCCCAACATGTCGCCACAGGGTGGCCAAACGCGCGCAACACGCTGCGCCCAACAATGTTGCGATATGTTGCGTTGAGATGTTGCTATCGTTTGACATCACGTCGGAGGAAATTAAAAACGTAACAATCATCGGTTATTTTGGATCTGTGTTTGAGGAAAACCCGGACAAGGAAACCAAATGATAATGCTGACTATATTGTTCTCGAAAAGCTCCGTTTTCAAAATATTTTCCGTCCAAAAGCCGGCCTTTTCAAATTCCTCTGGTTTGAAGAGCGTTTTCGAAAAGCCCCGTTTCCGTAACGGATTAGTGTTAACGATAGGCCTAACTGTAGAAACAGAGCTGCGTTTTCAAATTTTTAGACGCTGCCAAAATCATCAGTGAATTGTATTGTTCTGGGGACACGGAACGGAGATGTTTATTTATTTTATTCACTGAAATTTAGATGTTAGACCGTAAACTGAAGGAAGACTTCAGGGACCATGGCAGTGCAATGCTTGGGAGGCGCAAGCACCCTCGCACCAAGCGTCTTCGTTCCCCTTGAACCGGAACCCCCGGAACCTACCCGGAACCCACCCGGAACCTTGACAAAAAACCAAAATGATAAAAATCAAATAAAAATAATAAATATAATACAAATCAGATAAAAATAATAAAAATGAAATTAAAAAAAAGTAGTTTTCACCTTAAAAATACTTGAACAGGACGGCACCTGACTAACGGAGTGTTTACTTTGCCAAAGGCCAAAGTACAAAGTAATTTTTACGACTCGAAACCACGAGAGCTTCCATATTTTTTTAATACGACCATGAGTGAGGCGAAAGAGACTATCACCATAGAAGATGAATCTGAAGATGACGATACTTAAGAACTATATCAGACAGTTTTCATCAAAACCGAGGAAACGTGTCCTATTGCCAGGTAACATTTCCTTCAAACAGAAATTTGACTGTTTCCTGAGTTACGTAAGCTTAAAAGCTGATCGCTTTCGTAAAAATCTAGCCTGCAGTGCAGGCGTCTTATTGGGGCGAGTTAGCGTTACAACCTTGCGACCGCCTTTTTAGACCGCCATGTTAGACGGTGGGGGATGGGGGAGGGGAAAAATGAGAAGATTTTCTTCGCTCCACCCCTCCCCTATCCTTCCTCTTGCCTATCATTCACCCCCTTGGTAAAACTTTCTTTCTCTCCCCAGTCTTCCACTGCATGAAAAATTCAAGATGGCGGCTAAACTTTTTACGATGTGAGCGCTCGCTCGAAAAAATCTCGCCTGCTCTGCAGGCTAGTAAAAATCTGCTCACAAGTTTACGCGGTTTCGTTTCATTTCAACAGCGCTGTAAAGACTGAAGGGAACGATCATGACGAGCTAATCGAAATCCTTTCCTCGCCGGAAACATGTCCAGAAAAGAAGAGGTAAGCGCAGGTTCATTAACTTTTTGTGAAGGCGTAGCGAAAAAACAAAAACAAAAAACAAAAAACAGAACTAAACGAAGTCACTCAGGAATTGTTTTTTTCCAAGGTAGTTCGTTTTCATAAAACTGCTTTATGTTTACATATCAGACGAGGCCGGTTGAACTGGGTCAGGGTGTGTGTGCATATTATAAACTAATTGCGATTTTTAGACGGCTGTTGGGAGAATGAGTCTATCTTTTTGTCGAGGGTCGAGGGTCGAGGGCCCCATGTCGAGGGTCGAGGATCGAGGGTAATATATATTTTTTTCTGAGTCTTGTTTATTCAAATGTCACAAATCGTAGGAGTCGTGAATCCAAGGATTGTCAACCCCATTTTACATGACCATTCAGTATACGTGTATTTGCTTTGTCATAACACCAAACCTAATTTGGTAAAATGTTGACGTGACTTCCTGTCGCACGATCAGTCGAACTTTCAAATAAATTCTCTGAAATACATGCCGTAACTACTGGCTATTTACAAACGAAGAGCCTAGTGGAGGAAAGGTTTTCTAGGTCTTACCGTCGCTTGCAACTTCCGGTCAATCAAAATTCAAAGTCTTGGGAAACTTCAAAGTTTACCCGCCCACTTGGGAACATTTTGGCGCCACTCTGCAAACGCTTGAAGAGAAGCAAAGTCAGCAACGCATACGGGCATTTTGTCTTTTGCAGTTTTGAAAATCAGAATGAATGATAGGAAATCAATAGAGGATTTTCTGTCGGATATCAGTTACTTAGCCCATGTGAAAGGTTCATCGAGGAAAAGAGGCAAGAATTACACCCGCTTTCAGTGTTACGTGCAGAGCAACTATCTTTCGACATGCCATCTTTCGACATGCTATGTAACCTGGCCTACGTCAAAAATGTAAGCACAACGGACTTCTATATGGTCAAACTCAACTTTTAGTCATGAAAGATGGATTTATTTGACATCAAACTCAGGTTAGTCAGGTTAGGAGATCAAGAAGTCATTCTGTGGGAGACAAATTGTTTACATCTTTCGAATATTAAACTGAGCGGTAGCGACCCAATTCCACCGGAAGTCACCATTGAGAGCCGATCGACTACATTAAAATCGTTTGAATTATCCCGTAGATCGGACGTCCACAGTCTCCTTCATTCATTTGAGGTCAGTAATTATCATATACTTGTCATTTGTTCCGCTAATAACCGGAAAAATTGCCAGTTTCACAGGTAAACTGTCTTTCAGCCGTTTATATAGCATGTCGAAAGATGGAATGTCGAGAGATGGTCGAAAGATGTCGCCTATGCACGTAACACTGAAAGCAGATGTAAAGTTCAAGCTTGAGGAAGCAAGCGCTAAAAGATAAGAACTTGAAGAAACGTCTGCCAAGATAAGAGACGTAGCTTCCGCGCTTGAAAATACCGGTCAACGCTATGTAATTGTCATGTAAGAAAACACACAGTTTGCACCTGCCGAATGGCAAAATGTGAGTCAGTGTTTTTCTGTGGATAGTTGAGTAGGCATCCAGATGAAAAACGGGAGTTTCAGGAGAAAAAAAGGGAAATAGCAGCATTGGAAACGGCCGCCGCGAAAATAGAACTGGATTTGAACTGGCTTTCTCCCGAGTAAAAATAGTTCTTTGAATAAACACGTAGAGGAAATTTTGCTTAAAAAGTTTCCCCTTTGATTTCCTATCATTCATTCTGACTAGGTATAAAATACTAGGTGGAAGATTGTATTCAACAAGTTTGAAGGATGTAGCTTGGCTAGAAGGTAAAGTCTGCATGCAAGTGGCCCATCAGGCCGGAGCTTATCCCGATTTCTAGAAGACGCTCAGTTAATTTGTATAATGTTCCATACATTTTTCTGTATTTTTCTTCCCGCGAACCGCGTCCACCCAGCCAAATTTACAGACAAATGTATGGAAAATTAGAAAAATAAACCGAGCTTTAAACGTGATGAATACAATTCTCTA